GTTGTACGGCGAGGGGTAGAAGTAGAAATACCCCTGTCACTATATTCGGCAACTGGCTACATCACTGATTGTAGCCAGTTGGGCCATAGTCTGCCGTCGTTGAGTAATTGTCTTTTGTATGAATCAGATTTGTCATCTATGGATAAGCTACTCGCCGGTAAAATTGGTCGTGGAAAGTGCGAGACGATGTAATTTAAACAATCAGAGACCATGTCGAACCAATTCCTCAAATATCTACAAGAGTGAACGGAGTTACAATATAACAGCCGTGATGTTCAATTACCGCAGAACTGTCCAATGGTACTTTGGATTTCAATTTTGCATAATTGATGGCATCCCCCATAAGAATATACCACGCCGTCGTACGTCTTAAATGAATTTTCTTATTATCAATAGAAACTGCAAATTGTCGTCGGGCGGTTGTATAGAGGTTTTTAATGGTGGCGACCAGATTCTTTTAAAAAGGTTTGAGGAGGCAATTTTGTGAAGCCATTGGAAAACGCACATTATGCTGTCTTCACGCTGCGGTTGTGTGCATATTCTCCTCAAAGCGAACTGCACCTGACCGGTCTTTGCAGCTTCGGATTTTAAATGTTTTTCCTCGGTAAAAATTATACTCTGTTGCTATTTGGTGAAGATCGGATCGCGGCGCAAGAGTAAATGGTTCTCCTAGCTTGTTGACAAGTATCGCCATGAATGATTCAGAGCGTATTCCGCCTATTTATTCCAAACATTATCGATATTTGACACCTGGGGATGTCACCTATCACTCTAGGGGCGAATTGAAGGTAAACCGCATATATCAAAGGTGAGATACACCGAAGACTTATAGAATTTCTCGGAGCTAGGGAATTGTGATCTTCACCAGATTTCGTATTGTCACTTAGGCAGAAGATTTGTTGTTGATGCGCACGCTATAGGATAGCATAACGTCGTACTTTGCCTAGAACCGTGTTCGAAATTTCATTAGGCCCGTTACGCTTAGGGTCTAACTGGATCCAAGATCTAACGAAGTGAGCATCTCACGGTACGCTAAATACACCTGAAAGTTGAGTGCCATACAAATGGTTAATGGTTAATGGAGATGTTGTTGATTTCAATTACTACTACTATCACTACTACTACTACTACTACTACTACTACTACTACTACCATTACTACTACACACACACACACGTGACAATTGTCATTCTTGGACATCTGACTTTGCATCTGATCGTTATCATGTCTTTACCGTTAGTAAGTCAACCATTCATCACCAATGAACTATTTCTAAATACTGTAGCGTCCATTTGCTCTGTTGCTTTTACTTTCAGGTACATCAACCGGTTGCGTAAAGGTGTTCAAAGTGGCCTCAGTGATTGGCGTCGTCAACTGGCTGTCACATCGGACACGGCACCCGCACTACCGAATAACAATGTGAATCAGTTGGCAAACAACTTCCTCGCTAATCCCCAAAACCACACACATCATGCGAATGTAACAGAGGCGTTGTGGAGTTTGCGGGACCATCTGTTGGAGGATGCCCTGAAAATTCGTGTGCATTGTCTGAATTCCGTTGAATGTTTATAATGAACTATCGTGATACGGACGCATTTCTCTACTCTGCTTTTACACATTTTCTTGTTTTCCAAGCATATACACATGTGACTGTTAGTGTTGTAATTTTTAGGTGTCCGTATTATCGTCTTCATATTATTCTACCCCAACCAATTTTTCTCTTCACGCTACTTTACATCTGCATTGTCGCAATCATTATTCGGCTTTTTGCCCTCTCTTTTTTCAACTTCTGGCGCCTCTTGTGAGACGGGGACTTATTAATCGTTTTGCTGCATAAATAATCAAAGGTTTCTGTCATTTTGTAAAGCGTTGTTTACTTCTGTTCGAATCATGAGTAGGTGCGTTTTTTCGCGTTCTGAAGAAGTACCACTCTTGTGCACTCTCTTCCGATTTCATTGTCCCCGAGGATTTATGCATCTCTTATATTCCTTGCGGTTGCATGGAAACGTTGGTATATATAAACAGGTATTGTTCTCCACATCATCGTCATCCTTTTTCTCATATAGTTTACAATTATTGGTCTTCTGTCTGGAGAAAATAGTTTGATGAAGTGTGTGTTAGGTGAAGTTGGGAGATGTGTTATAAAACTGCTTTGTTTAATTTGATTTTAGGTTGCTCAGGCGTTAACAATTACCCAATGCGTGACTCGTGATTGTATGTGTTTGCAAACCAGTTCATTTGTCCAGCAGATCTTTTCCAAACGGATTTAGCACGGTACCTCAAATTGTATTGCGATTACGTGGGTCTTCTGGTTTCACATTTAATGTTGCATTTATTTGCGTCCTATCGGGCCGTCTGACGTGCTGGAGCGAGCAGACTTGTGCACCACAACATGATCGATTGGTTTTGACCTGATTGAGCGATCACAGAGGCAGGCAAACACGGATTCACTGCCCGAATAAACGACTAACAAGTCAAAGGGTTTTATCTGATTCATAATACTAAACAGTCTATTCAACCGATAGATATGCACACTTGTCTATCCTTTGATAAGAAAATACCTTCAGATTGTGCTCCATTCGTGATCTCCGCTCGCTGGGATTGAGGGAGGGATGTGTTAGTTGCGATCGAGGTCGTCTGTAACTGCTCGCATCACAGCCCAAAAACCAACTCGATTTCGATTTAAGTTTTCCTTGTGAGATCAATTAGACTCGTTCCTCAGGAGTGATTCTGTTTTTCTGGGGGAAGCACGTGATTGCAAGTTCATGGACGGATCCATTGATTTATGGTAATCCAAATGGAGTGCAACAGATTCATGCCATGTGTTTTGATTAGAATATTGGAAGACAGGTGAATCCCAAACAACTGGGGACCAGATGGCTCACTGGTTAGATAGTTCGGGGAGGAGAAAATGACTAACAATCAGGGCACTTTATATCGCGGAGCAGTGGCATAGTGTTCACGTCTTTGTACGTGAGTAACTTTGTGATCTGTACATCTGCAGATGCCAGATGTGGATTCGCGTTTATTCTATCGTTAACACGAACCCACAAATCGACATACCTTTTCGTGCTGAATAACAAAAACATTTTAAGTTGATGTTTGATACGACTTGTGTGATAATCCATTGTAAATTTAAAATGCACTGCCCTTCACTCTCCTTTTGTATTCAGTCCTCATTACTCAAATGCACTCATGTGCACTGGAATCTCGGTGGGTTGTACATATCAAAAACTGACTTCTACCTATTCTAATAAATCACAAATCGATTGCGGTTTAGCAATCCAGTTATTTTCAATGGATTTCCATGAGCACGACGCAGGTGCGCTACCCGTCGTGAGTTTTAAATATCTCCTTCAGACATACTTTCTTTTAATACCTCGTTGCGAGAACTTGTTGATCGTAAGATGATGTACGTGAGAGGATTGTGTTCCACTGATTACACTGCTAAATGGATTTAACTTATCAGTAGTCGAGCAACCGAACTACCAACGTTCGTGCCCATGTGAATGATTGAGCACCTGTACAGATAGGAGTGGAAACAAAATGGACCGACCCTGACTAAATCTGTTTATTTCTGTGCCCCTTAATTGAAGTCCAGTTCCATGTTCGCACATCTCCGTCACTGACCTGAATTCCAGAAGATTTTTAACGCCTATTAATATTCCTCAGGGGAGTCAATGTTTATCGCCAGATAGGGCCGCGACGGGGAGTCAGTTTCGTTGAATTTCGAATCCATTGTACAACTTCACAGCAAGTTACTGGAATTCTGTGTTGTACGGCGAGGGGTAGAAGTAGAAATACCCCTGTCACTATATTCGGCAACTGGCTACATCACTGATTGTAGCCAGTTGGGCCATAGTCTGCCGTCGTTGAGTAATTGTCTTTTGTATGAATCAGATTTGTCATCTATGGATAAGCTACTCGCCGGTAAAATTGGTCGTGGAAAGTGCGAGACGATGTAATTTAAACAATCAGAGACCATGTCGAACCAATTCCTCAAATATCTACAAGAGTGAACGGAGTTACAATATAACAGCCGTGATGTTCAATTACCGCAGAACTGTCCAATGGTACTTTGGATTTCAATTTTGCATAATTGATGGCATCCCCCATAAGAATATACCACGCCGTCGTACGTCTTAAATGAATTTTCTTATTATCAATAGAAACTGCAAATTGTCGTCGGGCGGTTGTATAGAGGTTTTTAATGGTGGCGACCAGATTCTTTTAAAAAGGTTTGAGGAGGCAATTTTGTGAAGCCATTGGAAAACGCACATTATGCTGTCTTCACGCTGCGGTTGTGTGCATATTCTCCTCAAAGCGAACTGCACCTGACCGGTCTTTGCAGCTTCGGATTTTAAATGTTTTTCCTCGGTAAAAATTATACTCTGTTGCTATTTGGTGAAGATCGGATCGCGGCGCAAGAGTAAATGGTTCTCCTAGCTTGTTGACAAGTATCGCCATGAATGATTCAGAGCGTATTCCGCCTATTTATTCCAAACATTATCGATATTTGACACCTGGGGATGTCACCTATCACTCTAGGGGCGAATTGAAGGTAAACCGCATATATCAAAGGTGAGATACACCGAAGACTTATAGAATTTCTCGGAGCTAGGGAATTGTGATCTTCACCAGATTTCGTATTGTCA